TAGTAATTTGCAAAATCAACACCTGCTGAGCCATTTTTGTCTGTTAAAGATCACTGCACCTCTATGACTCTAAGATGGCTTCAATTACAAGATGCAATGTGATCCCATGCCATTAAGAATGATTAAATTGTCAACTCTACTAATTTAATTACAAGACACCACTGATAGATGCACCACAATTTTCAAAATGTTAAAAAAAAAAAGGTCTTAGAATCAATGGCATAAGGTATAACCCCACTATTATTTCCAAGGAGAAAATTTATAGTTAATAACTGTTTTGCATAAATCCAAAACATTTCAGTCCTTTCACATATCCATCATTTTCTACTAAGAAAAATACTTACATCATCACAAGACATATTATATTCTGCTAATACAGTTCTACATCGAGCTGCTATACTGAATAAATGTGGTCAAAGGAAAATAGATCATTTCAAGAGCAAGTTTTTAACAACATCTACATCATTGAGAAGGTGCTTCATTCAGTTTAGAAAATACAACTGAATCTGTGGTAAAGGATACATTGATGGTGCAACTACTCTCTTGTGTATTCCAGCAAAGAACAAGCCTATTAGAGTGATACAACTAAGGGTGAAAAAAGGATGATTCCATAATGATGTGAAGAAGGACACCTGTAAAAGAAGATTTGAAATAAGAAAATGTTAAAAATTTTGGAATACTGATATCTGTACATCCCCACTCCTAAAGATTAAGTAACATTTTAATAATTTAAACTATGAAGATCTGAAGATTCCAAAAATGCTAGCTTTCTGTACTGCTGCAAATAATGATGTGATATTTTCTATCTTCAATGTAGCAATATTCCTTCCATTCAGTTCACATACTTGAACCATTACAAATTCATCCCTATATTCAAAAAACCAACCTACCAAAATTACGCAGTGACCCCTTCCCCAGTAAGAAGCAATCTAGAAAGTGCATGCGAGCAGGGTTCTGCCTTGTGCATCACTGTTCTCCCACTACCTGAAATAGCACTTGGCAAACAAAGCATACATAAATATTGTTAGAGTAGAGGCCTCTGGCCTCAATGAAACACAAGGCAGGCATAATCTAGTTACTTTCCCTTTTAAATGTCTTCCTTAGCTGGGCAAACTGCCTCCTATAACCTGGGTGCAGCCCCACATTTCCTGCCAGGCTCGTGCATATGTGACGTACTGTCTCTCTCAACACCCAACAAACCCCAGAAGACTCAGCTCTAGTATCAACCTTTCTCTCTGCAGATGTAAAAAATAAGTCTGGTTTTGAAGTTACTCAGACTTTGGTGGCCACAGGACAGTGAGGCAGGGAAAAATGGTTTAATGGCTACCCATAAAGTACTAGTTTCACAAAAAACAAAGTGCTGATTTCAGCTCTGTGCATTATCAGATGATGGGGGAAACAGGATGACCAGTAATTCTAGGAATGGAAAAGGGTCGAGGACTGAAACAAGAGTAGGCATGGAAGTCAGACTACCAGGGAATAGGGCTGTAGAAACAGAGAAGATCACAATTAAGAGTTTGGAAAAAGAAACTGAGTGGACTGGTAACTGGATGGGGCAGAGTCAAGCTAAGGGTGATGGCACTCCACTCTCAGACCACAGCGGCATGTGGTCCTATGACAGAGACCCAACTTGGAGAAAGCGCCAGGCAGGTAACCCAGCACAGCACTGTCAAACAAAGCTGCCAAGCAAAGAAATGAGAGGCAGGAAACATCAGAAGAGGAGACGCTCCCAAAAGGATGAGGCAGAGCTGAAGAAAGGTTCATATTCTAGAAGGATTTCTTTTTAAAATCTTTGCAGACCGTTTCATCCCTCAGGCCAGCTATGCTGCATGTGGCCTAGACGACATTAATACAGTTGTTTTATGATTTAATTTTAATTAGATCTATCAGTGTCAGCCTTCTTTCCTCCACAGCAACAAGTGGCTACAGATTCAAAGCCCAGTTCTGCCTTTATTCACCCAGGGCATCCGAACACTTCCCAGGCTGCCATATCCCTTCTCTCGGAGGGTTCATCCAACCAACTACCGGCTTTTGAGTTTGCAGCTCTTGCCACAGACACAACTGCTGTTTAAACTCTTGTCAGATTTGAGGTTATTAAATAATAAAATATGAAGAGTCAACCCTTAGGCTAAGAGTTATACTCTCACCTAATTTAGACAATTATATTAACTACAGAGTTTTGGGCCTATTTCAAATTTCACTTAATTCTGTGTCTTATTAAGATCTCAACTACCTGAACTCAGCTTGTATTTTTCCCAATGAGAAGTCAGACTCACTTCCCAAGACAGGCCTTTTTCAGCCTCCCCATTAGCTCCCTTCACTGCTGCCTGAAAGATGAGCACCAAGTGCAGCATTAGGGGCAGATTTTTATAAATGAACACACAGGTGAGCTTCCTATCTTGACATAAAACCCCCGCTATTAACACAGCATGCCAGCCCAGCCCCCTGCTCCCTAGCCTTTTGTGACTCTGCCCTCGTGGGTAAAGTCAGGGAGACTATGTGCTAACTAAACCCCAGGCTGTTTCAGTCGCCATTAGTATTTTTTTTTCTATATAGCTTGTGAGGTTATAAATAAACTACTGGAAATAATCTATGAAGAGTGGGCTTTTTTTAATGTTTTTGTGAAAATTATGTTACCAATTACTACCTATAAATCTGCACTGGAGGAAAAAACACTAGTGAAAAACTGGAAACTACTACTTTTCCAATACTAGTCTGAGTCTGAAATTAAGGCCCAAGTTAACAGAAAGACAGAAAACTGAGAAGCCTCCTATCAGATTTCATGAAAGGATGCTCCAAGAAATAACCTTATGAAATCTGTTACTGCATCTGGTATGGGTATTTCCTTGGACAGTGCCCAATGGGAGATCTCTCAAATACTTCCTATATTAAACTTCAGACAAGAAATGTGAGGTACGTGCTGAAAAAGGAAAACTTTGCTAGCTTTAGGACTTATACATGTTGTCTTCAAAATGAAAACCTTGGAAATGACTGTGACTATTGATTAGGTAACTCAGAGGCTAATTCTAACTCAATAATAACTACTGTTCTGATCCACATGGCCTATACATCAGTGACTCGACTTCCTTCCTGGATTGACTTCATAGTCAAATCTGTTTTAATCTGGCCTTGACATTTCTATTTTGCTATTTTATGTTTGCTCATAGGTGAAGAAAGGTATTAAGAGAGCTAATTCATAGAAGAAAATGTTACTTTTAGTTTTTAAAAACTGGCACTGATGAAACCAAACAAAGCAAAATAAAGGAAATGTTCAGACCAAGCTCTATATAATGAAATATAAAAATTACATATAAACTCAGAAGTGAATGAGAATGTAAGTGAATACTGCATTAAGTTTTTCCCCCTGTAAAGACCCTTAATTTACAACTCTAAATTTCTCTTAGACAAAATACAATGTACAACCAATGAATAAAGCACTACTATATTATATATCCATTATCTAATTTAATTCATTAAAGATTTTAAATCAGAACTTCTACCTTTTGTGTCTCAGGATCTATTAACCAGTTCCAGGCACCAGTAGCTGTACAGACAGATACCACTATAAGAAGCACTGATGAAAGATAAACATGAAATTAATAAGGAAAAAAGCTCTTAATGTTCAATACTATTACTGCCAGTAACTTATAAATACCAGCTAAAGAATGAAGCACTTTATCAAATGAGTATCGTACTTGACACGTTAGATTTGCCACGACTTTGAGGATTTCCCCTAAATACAGTCACCCTTAGTAATTGAGAATAATAACTGTCTGCCCTCACCCTCATTACTTTAGTTAAGAATATATGGAGAGTAATAAATCAGGAAGATTAAGACTTTAATACAATTCTATGTTATATAACTTTCAATATATTTTGTGCTGACTTTGCAAATCTGATAAATTTAAAAAAAGCTTTCTGACCAGAGGAATTTGCCTTGCAGATAACTGCCTGGTATTGAATTAAACAAAGGCAGTGTTAGGAGTGCAGAGTACAATGATGAGCATTACATTTTCTTTAAGGGACTTAATGGAAGGTTAAAGTAAAAATTACTGATGTAGAACTTAGAAAAGGTTTCTTTCTACCCACTAAGCTATAATTTAGAAATTCTAAACATCTCTAACTAAAACTTAAGAAGAAATGGTGCTGCTGAAAACAAATTAAATGTGAACCAAGACTCTGTTAATACTCTGGAAATCAGGACAGCTACTTGTCTTTCAGTTGGGATGTGGACATTTTTTTTTTTTTTGCATAGAACTAGGATGTAGGCCAGAGGTGTGTTTGTGGGGCCATGGTTGTGGGGAGGGATGGGGTCAGAGGCTTCACCAGATCACAGCAGGGAGTTGAACAGGTAGATTTACTGAAATACACTGTTAAGGGGAGTGGCGGGTAAGACAGGAGAGGTCTGCCAAGTGTCATATGTGGGTCAGTGCCCCGGCCAGGGATCAAACTCAGGCTTTAGCAATGATAGTGCTGAGACTTAATCCTTGGCCACTAGGGAGATCTGGGATGTGGACATTCTTTAAATGTAGTAATAAAGAATCAAAAAGCAACAGGAACACACTAAAAGCTCAATTACTTAGATTTCTTGGTGATGTACTTTTAGAAGAGGCAGATCATAGAAAAATCTCATTTAGGTATTTGATTACAGACAAAAATTTCAAGATGATGTTCTGAGTTCAAAAACAAACTCACTTCATTTCTTCTAATTTTATATTTCTCATACAAAAGAAACCAATAATTTAAAAAGTACTATAGTTTTTTGTTTAAAAGATTTATTTATTTATATTTACATACAAGAACTGGGGTATAGGCCAGAGATGTGGGGTGCTGAGGTGGGTAAGAAGATTCACTGGAGATAAGAGTGGGAAGCAGAACAGATGGATCGACTGAGATACACTGCTGAGGGGAGCAGCAGGCGGGACAGGAGAGGTCTGCTGTGCCATGTGGGTCAGCTCCCTGGCAGGGGATCACTCATGCTATCTGGGCTGCTGACAGCTTCATAGTACTGAACCCCTGTGCCACCAGAAAGGCCCTCTAGTTTTTGTTTTTTTTTTTTAATAAAGCAAAAGCAAACCTAAAAGAGGCTCTTACATATACTTTGATGGCTACATTAACCAAGATAATTTACATGTAAGTGGTGAGACCATGAAGTGGAGGGAAAAATCCATTGTATTACATTCCATACAAAAAGACAGTACCATACACATCATAAAAGATCCTCAAACAAGGTTTGAGGGTAACTCCTAGGTAAGCAAGGGAACCTGAGAAAATCACTACTAGTGACTTACGACCAATTAGAATTTTCACAGCATTTGATTAAAACTTTCAAAAGTATCTAATAAAAAATAAGCAATCCTAACATAGTTTCTAACTTCTATAGTTCTCTTCTGGTCTCACAAACTGCATTACACTATAAAGAGAGCATGTTCAGCACATGTGTTACTGTATTTCTTTCTGGGCAGGAATTGATTTTAATAATGAACATCTAAGAAATTAAGATTGGTCACAAGATAGGAAAACACCTGCTGATGTCATCCCTGGTATATTTTTCTGTATTTCATTTATGTGTGACTTATATTTGTATACCTATCATATATGAATACACAGACACACATACATCTACGGAGGTAGCAATCATAGTTTCTTCAAATCATGAATGTGAATTTTTCACAGTAAAAATGAAGGTTTCTTTTCCTAGCTCAAGCTACAAAGAAGCACAATTATGTCCTGTTAAAGTCAACTAAGAGGGTCTCCCTGTGGCACCAGTGAGAGTTAACATTTTTATGTAACATTGTTTACAATATCAAAAAATTTAAAAGACAAAACTCCCATGCAGAGATAAAAGTGTCATTTACTTTTCTTTAACATAAATTTCAGGAGTGGCCTCCCTGGTGGCAGAAGGGGTTAAGTCTCGGCACTATGAAGCTATCAGCAGCTACTGCAGTATGATTTCAATCCCTGACCAGGAAGTTGACCCACATGGCACCAAAGACCTTCTGTCTCTCCTGCTTCTCCCCTCAGCAGTGTATTTCAGTGGACCCACCTGTTCCACTCCCCACTATGTCTTGGGTGAATCCTCTCATCCCAACTCCCACACACCCCTGGCCTACAACCCAGCTCTTGTATGCATGAATGACAAATAAATCTCTAAAATAAAATTATATACATATAAAAAGATTTCAGAGGCCCTCCCTGGTGACGCAGCGGGTTAAAGCACAGCACAAAGAAGCTTAAGCCACTTCCGCATGAGTTCGATCCCCACCTGCCCCAGAGGAGATCCACATGGCCAGGCAGACCTCTCCTGACCCACCCGCTGCTCCCCTCAGCAGTGTCCTTCGTCAATCTGCCTGTTCTTTACCCCACTGTGTCTGATGAATTCTCTCACCCTCCGCATCTCTGGCCTGTACTCCCTGTACGAATAAATAAAATAAATCTTAAAAAAAAAAAAAAAAGATTTCAGGAACTTACTTCTCCAACGGCCAGTGGCAGGCTGCAAACAATGAATATATTCAGTAAGTCTCCTCTCGAAAGCCTTGAGATCTAGGCAAAAAGATTTCATATTTCTAATTAGTCTTTCTCACCAGTTCAAGTCAATTAATAATAGATGAAGTCTTAGATACTTGACTTCTTGGTCTTACACACCAACTTACAAGTATCCCTTCACTGTTTGCTTAGTTTACAAAGAGAGCTTCCACACTTGACACAAACATTAGGTTTCTTAATTCTGACTTCACATATCAGGAAAACTAGCTGGCACGCTTTTAGAAGATGAATAGGGGGTGGTGGGAATTCTGGGGACTACACCTGAGAGGGGGAAACAGACATGGTGTAAAAATGAACAATGATTTAAAAATATCTATCAATTTTACAATTATTTTTTTAAAGGCACGTGAAAAACCAGCAGTAACCTCCATCAGCGCCGAAAGCTTGAATTCTGGAGGTTGCAAATACAACGACCACCATCCATGCGACTTTTCGTTCTACCAGAACCAAAGCTTTTTATTAACTGGACGCAATTAGCGCACATCACGGTCTCGAGGTCTATGTGGATGCAGCTCCCAAATTCCGGTTGCTACTCCTGACATTCCATTACTCGCTGCGCTTTCGATCAGGTCTGACACGCGGTGGGCGCAGACACCCCCTCTCCCCGCTCTCGCGTGTCACAGGTGATTTCATGGCCCCGGGGACACTCTGAATGAGGCGGTGGGTACCATTTCCACAGTCGCGTTTTCCAAACTTTAAAAAGGAGATAATTTTCTCCCCCACTCTGCAGTCACCAAAACCCACCACACAAACCAGGGCACCCGCGCGTGGGGTTATGAGAATAAAAACACAGCGACTCGGCACAGCACCACGCACAACGTGAAAAACGTTTGCTA